CTGCGTTTTAGTAAGACTGATTACTCCTGTGAGTTTCATGACAACAGGCCTATCGGTTTTCCTTGAAATGTGTTAACAGTGTTGCATATATGCTAAAAAGTGAAAAAACAGCATAAATTCTACAATAATGGCCCGATCATGCTGATTTTCGAACTTGACCTGCGTTTTATGAATATTAGTCAGCTCTGTAAATATAAAGCCAAAAAGTAAAACTGTCTTCCACTTATGGTGTTAACGCTGAAAGTGCACGGCGACGGCGACGGCGACGGCGACATGATCGGCGACGACAGACGCAGGTGATGGCAATATGTACAGACACATCTGTGTCTGTACATAAAAACTCTATAATCAGATCAACTGGTTCATATTCAAGATGTAAAATGAAGACAAGATATATAAATCTATACCTTTTTTCTTGAAAATTTCTTTCATTACTGATTTTAAGCAATGTATAATGATAATTATCATTAAATATTGTTTGCCAAGGTATCACTGTACATTATGATGCCTAATGACAATTGCACTTGCCTTCAAACAAGGAGCTATTACCATATGTTGCATCAACATTCAATATAGTCTAATTCTCTATCAATAGTTCCATTGGTTGACTCACTGTATTTGCTCCTAACATACAATTAACATCAAGAATCATAAAGAAAACAGATGCGAACACTGCAGTGACTTCTTAACAATTTCCTTCGGAATTAACACAAGATGTAGAGAAACTTTAACACAAAATGCAATTTTTCACCAATTTTACATCTTTTGACTCAGACAGACTGCATATATTGCCATTGGGCATTCATTCATTCAAACATGTAAAAGGGAGCAATGCTATGGGAATGAAATAATCATTACAACAGAAAACGAGATGATTTATGAGTAAGACAGACACTGGAAACCAGAATGACTCTTGCTTAGGTAACCAGAAGGGACTGAAAATATCCTCAACAGATTCCAAACAGTGATCATTTCAATTCTGCAGACCTGTGTACAAACACCTCGAACATGTCTTTGGTGTGTTCAGAAACAGTGAAAGACCAAAACAATCACGGGACGTAAGACTGCATTCCCAGAGATTTAGATCGATCCATCTGGATCGACCTAACTCCCTGGGGGTTCACGCTAAATTGCTGTCAGCCGAGCACACACCACAGTTATTTACCCCCTTACAGCTTTTAGTAGGCAGGACAGACATTTAAGCCTGTTAGGCTGACACCAATCTAGTGAGACTCTCCAGGGAGATAGATCGATCTAAATATCTATGGGAATGGTGTATTAGTGTCCCCAGACAACCAATAACTATGTCTGTCTGTCTGCATGCATGGTGCATTGGAGAATTTACACATGTATGACTTAACCATGAAAAACTACTCATGACTCTATGACTAACAGACTAATGACTCTACCAAGAAGACCAAGAGGGACCAGAACAATTCTAGAGAAAAAAACTATTTCATATCAAAATGCCTACATTTTCTAATCTGTGAAACGTAAGAAATCAGGGGGATAAGCAATATGACATTTTCTTTTTCTTTTTGTTTCAATTTAGTCAGGCATTCTAAAACTAGAAGTAGATTTCTTTTTAATTTGCTGACATTATCTCAACTAGATGTCTTATCTTAAACATCAAAACAATTTTAAACATACCAATCAATAAAAGCATCACACAGAAACTTACTTACTTTCACTTCCAGTACTAGTAGTGGAAGTAGTAGTAGTATTTATTTATACTAGTACTTGGCTGAAATGATGTGAGCCAAAATTTTATCCTTTAGTTAACAAAATGTATGACTATCCTCATCATATATATTATTGAAAATCAACTGTTTCATCTTATACCTAAATATAGCCTGTGTCACAGATTACATCCTTGTATCCCTATAACTGTGTTATTATTAACTCACACTAAATCTAGTCTTAGACCTCGTTCCCATACAAAAATTGATCTAGCAGGATTGACCCATCTCCGAGGGGTTTCTCCCTAGATTGCTTTCAGCTGAAGCGGCTCTCATGTCTGGCATGCCTACTGAAGCTGTTAGGGGATAATTAACTATCGCTGAAAGCAATTTAGCGAGAAACCCCTCGGAGATGGATCGATCCTGCTAGATCGATCTAGGTATGGGAACTGGGTCTTAGAGCATGAGCAACATATTCATGCCATCATAAATCATGAAGATGGTTGTGGAAATCAATAATATATACTCGTGTCAAAGTGGAATTCTAAAATAGATTTCCATTCGATCTGAAAGGCTTTAGGGGGAATTCTGGAGTCTGTCTGACAAAAGGTGGAAAGGGGATGGGGGTAGAAAGAGAGGATCACTTCAGCCTAATGTGATTATCTTCGATAATTTTGTTATGGATCAACTTATTGGATCTGAAAAGCCTTAGGGGTAATTCTGGAGTATGTCTGACAAAAGGTGGAAAGGGGGTGGGGGTAGAAAGAGAGGATCACTTCAGCCTAATGTGATTATCTTCGATAATTTTGTTATGGATCAACTTATTGGATCTGAAAAGCCTTAGGGGTAATTCTGGAGTCTGTCTGACAAAAGGTGGAAAGGGGGTGGGGGTAGAAAGGGAGTCACTTCTAATGTGATTATCTTCTATAATTTTGCTATGGATCAAGTAAGTGATATAATGGAAACATGAGACACTTCTCCATAGAAACATATGTGACACTTCTCCAGCAGTTTAACCTCCATAATCAATACTTTACCATAATACTAGGACTTCTATAAAGTGTGGCAGCCCTATAATGATAATTGCACGGAAATGATGTTGCATCACCATAGCTTGGTTATGTCAGCTTATGTCATTCTTTCAACTGAACAGAACAAAAAAACAGAACATGAAACACATACTTAGTAAATTTGGGCATTATCAATAGACTAACACAGCAAAGCATGTTAAAATTATGACAAAGATGCCGATGTTACCCTTACATGTTTATAAAATCTACTAATCCTGTACTAGTATTGTTTCATCTTCAGTCATAACCTTTACCCAGGAGAAAGTGAGTTTATCTTTGCTGGTTTTTATCTGACAGCCTAAAGTTATTAACAGATTTTGATAAAATTTTCAGGACAGGTCGAGGACAGGTTAGAAAAGTTCTGTCTTAGGATGATAAGAATTTAGTGCTGATCCATTACATAATAAATGATCAGTAATCAGACATGAGCCTAGGTTTCAAGAAATAAAAAACTGAACATTTACCATGGGACCCAACACCTAACCTTGACAAATCTCAGGAACCATCAGAATTGAATTTAAAAATGTGGAATTCCACTTTTCCACAGAAAAAGCTCATGTCTGAGTAATAAAAAGGATTCAGCTGCCTTGGCATAGACCTGTGCTCCCTAGTGGGCTTTTAGACTTATCTCTATACTTACGTAACATATCTGACAGATAAGATGAGATATGGCTTCTTAACAAAGAGCTTCAGATAACTTTATATTGATTCTTAGGGGAATCATTGCCGCTTGATAAATCAAATGTCCATATATATATATATATATATATATATATATATATATATATATATATATATATATATATATATATATATATATATATATATATATATATAAAATCTAATTTTAAACTGAAATCTCACTGTTATTGCCTTTTGTAAAATCTTATATTTTAAACTTAAAATGTATATTAGGAACAGTTTCCTCTACTTGTGTAATATTAAATGTGACAATGCATGTATTTTATATAATAGTATCTATTTGTGAAATGGAAACATGACTAAGCGAGTGGTCTAGTGTCTGTACATCACAGTATTATTGATTTTTGTCATCTAAAAAGGAGGAAATGAAAAGAGCTATAGCAGGTATATATACAATACCTGCCATTTTCAAAGATGCTACAGAAGATCACATTTCTCACTTTTCAACATCATCAATGATACTGGAGTGAGACCACAGTTACAATGTGAATACATTCTTCGAAACTATGTCGTTAAATAATACATAAATGATCCTGAAATGTCAACATAATGGGAACTGATCACAACACTTCAGAATGTGTATATTATTTCCAGTGGTTGCCAACTTTGTGAACAGTTAGGCTCTATTCCCATAGATTTTAGATCGATCTATCCCCGCGGGGAGTCTCACTAGATTACTTTCAGATAATCCAACTTAAATGTCCGTCCCGCCTACTACAAGCTGTAAGAGGGTAATTAACTTTCGTGTCCGCCCGGCTGACAGCTATTTAGCGTGAACCCCCAGGGAGTTAGGTCGATCTTAAGTAGGTCGATCTAATCTATGAAAATGGGGTGCTAGAAAGGGTTACAAGTACACGCACACACACACCCACACACACATTTTGTATATAAGTAAGAACTTAACTACATACATCTTAATGAGCAATTATCAAACTAATTATCAGAGTAGCAAGTGAAAATAAATAACAAGCTTCTCTCTTCTCTGTTCCAATTATCTCTTTATATGAAAGGGGGGGGGGGGGGGGGGCTTTGCCTTTTATTTTCCCATCAATAACTACTGACATACCACTGTATCCAATAAAAAGGGAAGAAACTCAGTTCGAAATGCAATCTAGACTATCTGCAGGCATATCCCTCTTGACAAGGTAAGGAAGCCATTTCAAATACTAGGCGGGGTAGAGGAAACTGTTCCTAATATTATAATACATCTAGGGATCATGTATCACAAAACATCTTGAAGCAAAGAATTAAAGAAGCTGGATTTCTTTATACTGACAAATAAAAAAATTCAGAATCTAATCACTCAATGAAAATGTTACCTTCTCCATCCTCTCACAGGAACTATTTGTTCTTTTTCTTCCTTAGATCTGAACGCCACAGCAAATGCTGCCACGGGCCAGGCTAACAGTAAGATCACACACAGGCTGACTAGCCGTATAGGGGCAATAGTCACAGACATGATGGCCACCTGTGAAAAATATGGAAAAAAACAATGTTCAAAAGAAATTTGTATAAAACATCTTAAAATATTAACAATATTCTTCTTATCTATAATGCTATGATCAGACATAACACAGGTACATGTAGTAAGACGATACAAATACAAGGTAAAATAAAAATTTTTAATTAATATTAAACCCTAAACCATTAATAATGAAAGGCACAACAGTAAATAAAATTAGTCCAAATATTTCTCATTTGGACTAGGGTGACTCATGAGCTCTAGACATTTATGTATATTCCTACAAAAAGATTAAATTACAGTAATAAACATGTGCAAGCAACATCACATGGTCAGCCGCTATTTTCAAAATATTTTTAGAATCGGTTGCTTTGATCACAAAAAATAGAATTTGATGCACTAGATTAATCTTAATGCCTGCTAAGGCACCTAATGATTAACTCATCTATAACAATTAGAATTAATTATTTTACCATCTGTCACCAAGGGCTGCAATTGTTGGGTGTCTTTAAGACTGTAATCTCAAAATTATTTATTGAAGGGAAGACAAGCACAAACTATGCATGAAACTAATTTCTTTATCTATTTTTAGTCTTTAGCTATAGTCTGAAAAAATGTAGCATTCAAATTATAAGCCATATTGCAATAGTTTCATAATGATTACATAACATTACAATTAATCCCGTTTTACTGCATTTTTTAAAATGAACAAAATTATGACCGCGGTAGTATCACTTCGCAACTGGAAAACACTTGCTGGACTACAGTAGTGCCAAAAGAAGAAGTTGCTGCAAAAGGGTATATTCAGAATGATTTAATCCGATAAATGTAAAAAAAACTGACTTGCGCTTTCCAAGTTGCAACAAACCTGTAATTTTTCCCACCATGTCAACTGTAGGTCGTGTACAAAAGGATTTATCACTTCTGGTAGGACAAGAGATTCAGATCGTGGAAGGACCTTATTGGCCCTCATCTTGTCTCCTCTCTGCGCTGATCAGCGTCTGTACGAGTTAGTTCGTCATCATTAGCACCGTCATGTTCGTTGCTCCACTTGTCTTTCCATCCTCCTGGCCTCAACGACCTTTACCATTGGAAACTGACCTACTTTATGACTGAACAAAATGATAAATCTACCGCTACCGGGGAACAGATATACTTTTAAAAGAATTAAGTTAAACTAAATAGTTCTGCTAGTGATAAAAAGAAAACACAAAATAGTAAATTGCAATTTATATAAGAACTATTGATAAATTTTATAAGTTTAGCATTTATTTTACTACAATTTCTTGCCGCCCCCTTAATCACAATCTTTATTTTAGCTCCAAGGTCATTGCGCATGGCAACTCAGTGCGACTTTGTAAAGATGCTGGCAGCANTAATGAAATACATTTGGTGCCATTTTGAAGTGTGTTAGTCGAGCTGTGTTTGAAGCCTGTTGTAGTTTGTACAACGCTTTACTGGTCAACAGGAAAGAAAGAAAGAGGAAGAATGCATGCCAGTTAATGTATGGCCTTTGTGAGATGTACATTGCCAAGGTGAACAGGATTCAGAGGAGCTTGGAATACCCTGCACAGTGGTGTCTTAACATGTGGTCGTAAATATTTTTCGTGGATTTCTAGCAAAGTTGTCAGTCTTGATGAGAAGTTGCAGAGTGCAACTATACTGCTGTGGCGAGGACTGCACGCAATAGACGGACAGACAGACAAGTGAGCAGTACTGACATTTAAGAATTGACCTTCCAAAAGAGGAGTGCTATTTTACATTGATAAGTAAAAGGTTGTGTTGTAATTTATGGTGCAAAAAAGGAGAAAAAAATACCCAGGTGTTAAAGCCTTCAGTTATCCTTAATTGTGATAATGCATATAGGTATATTAGTGGTTGAAATCATGAAAGAAGTGATATTTCATATACTAATGCATATTGTTCACTGCAATGGGGTTTGTTAATAAGATATAATTTGTCAATAAGTTGTTTTCCTAATTAGGCTTAAAATTGCCTCATGAAAGAATGAGAAAGACAAATTGCTGTAAAAATAAAATTTTCAAATTGACTTTAAAATCAAAATGATTTTTTTTTCAAAATGTAATGAGTGCAAGTTAAGTTTATTCAGATAATGGGTGAATACAAAAATTACACAGACAGAGGCTGATGTATCGTCAGGAATTGCACGCTTATTTGGATTCTGCAATGAAGATAATTGCAGAATAATTGGACAAAGTGACTGAGTTATGATGCTGATAACACAAGTAACAGAAGGTCTATAGGATTATTCACTAGTCTATAAAGGTTCTTCCAGATAATTTCTCTCGTCCCCATTGTTGGACAAAGCGTCTGATTTAAGAATCCTAACTTTCTATGTAGAGTTATTGTGGATTTGGCATTTATCATTAAACCTGAATTTGTGTTTATATTATGCACCATTAATGTTGAAAGGTTATTTGGAATCTATATACTCAAATGGGCGAGAAGCAGTCTGGCAGATAGCAACAATCAATACAATATATGTCAATGCTTTTAATCCGGCATAGTCAGAAACTAGAGCAAGTATTTCTCTTTTTTAATTGCCAGTTGCTAAAAATAAGACTTTTTGGTTCTGGAAAATGGAAAACGTTTTTACTGTTATGTTTTGAATCTTTTTTCATTGATTTCAGCAAATTGACTTGCTGGATAAATGTCAAAATATGCTCATGATCGAGTACTGCATTATGAAAACAAGTCTCCTATCCAGGGCAGTGCGTTCACTAATGGTATTCAGGGTTTATGTGTTCAAGATGATGTCAGACTAGCAATGTAGATGTTATTGTTATTGAGTACATAGCTGAAGAGGATGGGCCCAGAATACTATTAGTGCCCTGAAGCAGACGCAAGATATTGATTTTTTTTTTCACTTGGTGCAAGACAAATATTGTGTGATTTATCCGACTCATAAAATACTTCATTGTAACTGATTATCTTTATATTTTTATTTTCATTCAATTGTGTGCTTGTTATTTGAAGTCAAAATTTTCTCCTTTACCTGATGTTGTATAAACTGCATCAAACCTTAATTAGATCCCTTCCCATCTCCCCTATTTTAAAGCTATTGTTGATAACTGAAACCCCAAAATCCAATATGCCTTTTAGGCTTTGACAGTATTATTGGACATATTATGGTCGTCCATGAGGGATTTTAACTTTCAGGTACTTTACAGTGATTTCAGAATTGCGTGTCTGCAAGGCAGCAAGTTAAGTGTGTGAGCTAAATTGCGTAAGGCAAAATATAGCTCGCTGATTTTTTTTTTTTTTTTTTTTTTTTTTTGGCATGTGGCCCAGACATTATCTCGTGAGTAATAATTTTTATGCAATCTTTAATTAAAGTATTAATGGTAAAGTGAATGAGTTAAAAGTTCCCAATAGTGAAATTGCTTTGGGACCAAGAGTAGAAGTGGTGTTATCTTTGGCCCCAAAAGTGATTTGATATAAAAAGTTGATTATTTCAATTATGGTGTTTTCTGCGTCTAAACAGCTATTTTGTTGTTGCAGTTTTCTTGCTGATTACTTAAATTATTTTTCTTATTTATTTATTTTTGCTTATACGAGAAATTTGATTATTTTTCACTTCAACAGGTTTATTTTAATTTTGAAAAAAAAGTAATTGTGATAAATTCAAAAGCTTGTCTTAATATTAAAGTTTTGAGAAAGCTTACAGACATGAAACGTAGCCCTATAGGATTTCCAAAATATCAGAACTCTTTAACATATTATTTTTTACATCAAAGATCTCCCACCCTAAAATGGCACTTTTTGAAGAAGCTAAGCATAAATTCATTTTGCCAATTTGTTAAAGAAAAGCCTGTTTCATACACAAATAATTGGGGGGTGGGGGGGATGAGTTTGTGAGCAAATCATTTGGACCCTTCGTAGTGACCATTCCCATACCCTATCGATCTATATTCGAGGGGTTTCTTGCTAAATTGCTTTCAGCTTAAGCGGCTTAGATGTCTGTCACACCAGCTAAAGCTGCTAGGGGGTAATTAATTCTCGTTCAGCTGCTTCATTAGGCGTTCCAGTGAAAGCAATTTAGTGAGAAACCCCTTGGAAGTGAATCAATCCTGTTAGATCGTTCTAAGTACGGGAACCCAGTCATAGTGTTTTGGGTGGATGCTGTTTTATTTGTTTGCTAGAGCCAAGTCAAAATATTTCATTCAATTCCATGGGTGTTGAAAAGAGAAATATCAAAAGTGCTTTGGTTTTCTTTAGCCATAGCATACCATAGTTAGCTTCTTAAAAAATAAAGAACTGAGGGGTGTTATAAAGGGGAATGGTGTGGTTATCCAGCTCCGCCCCTTTAGGTCACTCTTGTCAGAGTTATCTTAGGGAATAGTACATTCAGAGTACCAATAGCAGTATTTCAATGGCACTTCAAAAAGGCATGCAACGATAGCTAATATGGTATCTTTGACCTTCCGTGCAGTCAAATCACAAGTTGTGGTGGTTAGGTCTCAATACTCTACAACACGTAAATATGTGATGGCCTTGGAACATACGGTTATTGTTCATAAATTTCAAATATCGCATCAATATTTTTCTCTCTTTTGAACAGCAATCAATATTGAAATTCCTCACAAAATGATGCTTTCTGATATTGAACCAGCTTGTTTCTAAATCATTTTAGCAATGTTATATGTGACATAATTATTGCTTCAAAAAGCAGTTTTTGGAAAAATAATTTCTCATTTAATTTTGAATTTATTGAGAAACTGCCATGATATTCGTTTTTCAACAATGATGAGGGCAAAACCCTTTCAAGTGGTTTTCATATTATGTAAACGTTTACTCTTTTATTCTGTAAATATTGATTTAATGTACATGTGTACATGGATTTGTGATATACTAGTTAATGATTGAGAGATGCATGTGTATAATTGGTATTTTTCATTGTGATGAATGTGACAAATGTCGGTACAGTGTCGATTATTGTGTTATTATAATCAATTTATAAGTTAAAGGGATAATAACTCTTTTGTTTTGGCCAAAAAATGAATTTTCCTGGAGTAAACAACAATTTTTCCATACTTACCAATGATTAATAAATCCATTTTTACATTCAAAGTTAGTCCCTGGTTTTTTTCTAAAAAGTTTGTTTTTTTGTTAAAATCTCTTAAGAGATTACAACAGAGTACAGTCACGTGGTCTAAAGTCAAGCTCAGATAACAGTATGACAGCTATAACTGTCATTTTTGTGGTAAAACAGAATATATTATATTTCTTTGAGTTCTTCACTATGTTTTTATTGTGAAATATATATCTCATACGAAGAGTTATTATCTCTAAGAAGTGTGCGTGTTGGCAAAGCATTTAGGTAAGTCTCCTATTTTACAGTCATGAACTCCATGAAGCATTTCTCTATGTATAAAGAGGACTCGATGTATTATCTGAATTGCTGTGAATGATTAAGAAAAGTTGTATAGGTTTTTCTTTGAAAAGTAGCTTAAGTATTTATGTAGATGTATTCGTAATGAGACAACTGCAATCCTAACCAAATAGGTAATTATCAGAAAGAGTTGCATAGGTATGGAAGATGAGCACACATGTTACAATAATTATTATATTATAGACTCCATGATAGCCTTAACCACCACCCAAGATAATTGCTCAATGGTGCTACTTCTATTCTGAGATGAAATCTTTAAATTGAAAACATTTTTAAATCTTGTGTAACAGCATGTGGCATTGTGTTATTCAGTTCATAAATGATCTAAAGAGATTAATTTTAGATGTTATTAATTTCTGCATCAGCCCATTTCTTCATTCTGAACCCCCTTTTCTTTTTTCTACAGGAATGTACCCTTCATCATTCTGTCAACTGAAGAACAGGAAATAAGAGGACAATATTTTATTTCAAAATTTATCTATTTATCATGTTAAGTTCTCAGACTTTTTTTTACAATAAACATGACTGCATGCAAAATCCATGAGAATCAGAGCGAGATGGTCTATTTTTTTTCTGTTTATTTTTAAATTTCATTTATTTAATGCATTTATTTATTAAATTTTGATTATTTGTTGTGATAAAACCTGGATCACCACAGATGAGTATAGACAGCATGGAAGGGGCAATTGATTTTAAACTCTATACATAAAAATTTACTGATACACATTTTTGATCATCCATTAATTAAGTTTGTATTAATTTTATTACTGTAATGGCAAAAACACCCTATACCATAATCTGACTACTGTAATAACAGTTTTAAACAGAAGCATTTGCTTTGCCCAGGCTTGTATAACATGATTTGGAATACCCCAAACTAATTTATTTCACCCTTAATGAACTGTAACTTTACTAATAATTTTATGTTCAGGATTTTTTTCTCCTTTCACCTTTACATTTGTTGAGCTGTAACCTTATTTCTGCTGCTACTATTTCCTTCCAATTTTTAACAACACACCAATGGTTACAGGCTACATAAAAGAAAACAGGATTTGAAAAGAAAAATGTGCAATAAAAAGTTTTTTTTTTTCTTTTTCTCTCCCATGGTTGAACTCTTCTTCACATGGGGATAGGTCAAAGGTGAGTGTACTGGGTATTCCACTCGGCTAGTATTGCAAGGTGCTACTTGGTGCCAGCTCAACATGCGCACTAGAAATTAAGTGAACCGGCCATGGACAAATTACGACCACCTAAATTAGCACATGTTAAGAACTTTAATTGATTGTTTGATCGTCTTTATGGACCTCTATCTCTTTCTGTGTGTGTGTGTGTATGCGTGTGTATTCTCTCTCTCTCTCTTTCTTTCTCTCTCACACACACACATAGTTTTGTTTTATTTGTAAACAACAAATAAAAAGAAAAATGCAATGAGATGAGCAGAAATAGGAATTGTAATAATCAGAATGCAATATACAATAATCAAAAGCTTAGGGAATATGAGCCACATGTAGTCTATTCATACATCAGAGCCACGTACTATAAAACTAGTAGATATTGCATTTGATAAACCAGTGTTTGTCGGAATCTTGTTGATGAATAATAATGTGCAAACTGCCTTATGACTTAATTATTTGCTGTCATGCAAATGTGGGCATTGCCCTTCATTGTGATCTACTTCTGGCATTGGGTTGTGAAAAGCATTATATTATATTGAGCTGGTTATATAATAGTGTGCAGGCCCGTAGCCAGCAGTTTCAAAATGGGGGTTCATTTTCTGAAAAAGTGGACCTTGCCCCATAAAAACATTATGTACCTAGATCAAATTTTACCCAGAGTGGACCTTTTTTCAGCAAAAGGAGCGGTTCATTCGATGTTCCCAACAAAACTATAAAGATTTTTTCAGTCAGATCTATTGTTGCAGTAATTGCCATTTATAATAAGTGCAAACAATAGAAGTGCAACATGGCACATACAGCAAAATTTATCATATTGGTACAGAGTCCACACCTGTATTTCTGCATGGATTAGATTTAACTGCTATAGGTTGTCATACAAGTATTACAGTACCTTGGTCATTTTGTTAAATATTCAGTAGGACTTGGCTTTAAGACTGGGGCCCTAATTTCTCAAATGTGAGTTACTTTCTTTGCCCTTTTTTTTTTTTTTTTTTTTTTTTTTTTAATGATCCTAACATGCAATTACTCTGGGGGTGGGGTGTTTTTCCTCTCACCTCTTACTGTTTGGACCAATCAAAAATAACCAAGGTAAACAGCCATATTGAGTAAGGGGGCTCCATGCATTTAGATTTTTTACACCAGACTTATAGGTTGAAAATCTCTCAAAATGATGCGAAACAGAGAAGTGCACCTCACATCGTAAAATGGATAAATGGCAACCTTTCTCTTTGTAACATATATGCATGTCATGTATTATGAACATTTTTATGACAGTTATGATACTGCAATCTATATTCATTACAGTTTAAAGTGTAAAGTATCTGATGTGCAAAAACATATATTGCACAGGAAAAGAACAGGTGCTTGTATTTGATTTATTGATTGATCAGTACACCAATCTTTTCCAATCTTTTTCAAAATGCTCTGAATGTCATTGATGTTTGGAAAGGTTTGAATTGCTTTGATTATGTTGACCAATAATGCATGGGATATGAGTCCCAGTTACTAACAAAAATTTAATATATGAAGTTAGAAAATATTTATATGAAGGGAAATCAAGATCTCTCTTATATTATTAATTTTGTATAGTCTTGGTACTGTATTAATGATAAGTTAAAATACGATGATGATGATGATTGTCAGAAATATTAAAATGATGACAAAGGTGTTACAATTGATAGAGTAAAGAAGATTGAAAATTATGTTGACTTCTATTTAATTATCATTATTATTATTATTTTCTTTTTTACACAGGGAAGACCCATTTTACATGAATTTTTTTTTTATAATAATAATAGCTGTATTCTTGATTAAGATCAATTTCACTGAACAATCTGACTGGGTAGTCTCAACTGGCAGTAAGTCACCAAACTAAACTGTTAAAATAAGGAATCCAAGTGACAATTAAAGCAGGCCAGTAGCCAGTAGTTTAGAGTTAGGGTGATGTCAGTGGATCAAAATCTAAGGCGGGACTCTCCTTTACAAAGCCATGAGAACCAGACCCTGTACCACTGGGGATTCTCTCATATGTGATGATCAGGTAGTTTTTTAGTCAACTGATGCAGGCCCGTAGCCAGCAATTTCAAAGGGGGGAGAGGGGTCTTTTTCTGAAAAAGTGGACCTTTTACCATATAATCCCCATTTACCTAGGTCAAATTTTACCCAGAGTGGACCTTTTTCCAGCAAAAAGGGGGGTTCTTTTGAACCCCCTGACACCCCCCACCCCCCCACCCCCCCCCATGGCTACGGGCCTGTGATGTCAATTAGAATGGTTCAAAAGCAGGCTCATATGACTTTACACATGGTTGGCATATTCTAGGAATATAAATATAATCATTTCCTCACTGGCCATGGTGCCATTACCTCAGATGGCAACCTGCAGAGTCTTTAATTGTCACAGATGGTGAGAAATCCTTGAACCAGGTGAGGTAAAAATTCAAACAGACCTCAAAACCGCAAAAGTTAACTGAAGCCTGTAATCGGATAACTATACTTGATTAGTGATGCATATGTTCATTTAAGTGAATGGAATGCTCACAGTGGAGGAGAAAACCAGTATTCCTTCATCCACAAGTCGCAAGGCATTTATGAATGTAGACAAGAAGGGCTACAGGCCCATTAGACTTTTTTGTGTATAAGGACATTTTTCGCTAATCCTACTTACACTTTGGTACACCAGAATATACTGGTCAAAAACAGGAAGTGACCTTGCAGTTACTAAATTAATATAAACTTTACTGGACCGGCTTCAATTTTACTGGAATATAGCCTAATTTTGCTAACATTGCAGACGGATAAAATAACTCAAAATTGGACTTTTGGTTGATATTTTCATGAAAAAATTGTTAACAGATTCCTGGTATTAAAGGCTTTGTTTAAATGAACATGGACTAACATTGCAAACAAGGCAGCAAAGCTGTCAAATGTACAGAAAATAGTGATGACAGTACACAAAATAACATGACGTACATAACGCTACACAGACTGCAACCGTTAATGTGGAAATTTAGAAAATTTTACTAGCATAAGGTCTTGGGTCCATTGATGTTACAACATGAAAATGTCTGGCAAAAATGAAAAATTCACAAAAAGATGCACAATTTCAAAAGAATGGTCCAATAAAGTTGCTACTTAAACATGGCCTTTATTTTATAGTCATTATCATAAAAATCATACTTGTTAGTTATGGTGTTTACAGTCACAATGCACATAGTAGAAATTTTGTTAATACTTGTGTAATATTACATAATGCTTAACTGCATAATCACTACCAACTTCTAATTTTGTACTACAGGGTACAGTACTGCTAACATGGGCATTCAGAAAATGAACTTACCACAGATGGTGAAAGCTCAGTGTACAGACGCATTTAAAAGGATAAAATGTAAATGGTAATTTTGAGAACTAATCACAAGTATTGTTAAGTGGCTAGCAACGGTTGAAATGGACATTAACATAATGACATGCAATGGAAGGATTTAAGACAAATGTCCATTATGCAGGACATAAAACAACCCATTATACACAGTTGAGTGAATCTCTTTCTTTTGAACTTATTTTTAAAACATTCATCAGTCAGAACTTGGGGTAAAAAGAACTTTTAATTAAATTTATTAAAGTTTGTCATCTAAAAATGCAATAATTAAGGTAATCCATGGATGAAGCAGACTCCCGGTATTTTACAGTTTTTGAAGTAGCAAATTTTGGCTTCACTGTATACTGTACATGCAATTAAACACACTTTTCTGTTTCTTTTCTGTTTAATATACTTTTCACTAGCCTTGGAATTATGAATACTGAAACTGTTCTCAAATTGTTCTCTTCAATTCTATCACGTAAATTACTGTAATACTTTAATGATCAATGGGTAATATATCTTTATAAACTTCAAAATGATGATTTAAACCTTTCTGAACATGAATCTTGTACTTGGTTCCCAGAGCTCCTGATTCTGATGCAGTATTATAAAACACTCTACTAATTCTTGAATGAACCAGTGCCATAGCACACATAACACATGGCTCTCTTGTAACATACAAATCATAACCTGTGCATAAATATGGTGCAGTCTTTTCTTTATTTTCTGTAGCCTTGTCTTTAGTTTCTGTTTCATTTTTGTTGAGTGTAACAACCTTTTCTTGCCTTCTGGTTATTTCATCTTCAGATGTATTATGTATGCCTGTTTCATTTTTTATGTCATTATCAAGATGCAAAACAGGTTTCTTTTCTTCATTTTGACTTCTCTTCTCTTTTGAACTCCTACTAATTTTTGTGTCTCCTTCATCTGGTCTAGTCTTTTCCTTGTCTTCAGTTACCTTATTTTTCATCTCTTCAATTGTTTTAGTCTCATTTCCAAGGTTACTTGAAGATATTGCAAACAAGGCAGGGCTGCTGTCATATTTCCAAGCACCCCCACCTTGAGCCTTACCAACCAAGTCAATGCATACCATCACAGCATGCTGCAAAGGATGCTGGGATCTAATATCATGTGACTTCGCAATAATCTCATTGGTTGATGGATCAACAACAATGGCACCAACTTTTTCATTCCCCGTCTGCTCTCCCATTTCAGACATTTTCACAGCTTCTTTCATAAACTTTTGGATTAAGTCAACTTCTGAATGTGAAAACAATTGGCCACTTAGAATTTTGGCTATTTTCTTGTCTTCATGAAAAGCTGTAGGCCAGTGTAACACTGCTGTTTCATACTGTTTTCTTATCAGTGGCTGATATTTGGGGACTTCAGTAATGCATGGTTCACCTAAGCTATCCACACTTATGTCTCTTGACTGACAAATTTCGGAAAGAGATAAAATTTTTCCTCCAGAATCACGGCAGCTATCGTCATAGCAACAAACAATAATCTGCAGTTTTGACCCCTCTTGTGTCTTTGCCTTTCTGACCCTTTTCAAATGTTGTAAAGAGGGCAAGGGGAATTCTGATGTCAACTCCCTAATAAGTGTTGTGGTGTCTTTTTTGTTTTTTATATCACAGACAAGCACTTTCTCCAACTGAATGTCCTCATAATATTTGTCAGCTAACACAGCCGTTGGGTGCTTAGATGTTTTGCTCTTTCCATCATGGGACCTCTTCATTGTGGAAGGTGAATGGCAGTCTACTGTGCCGGTAGTCTACTGTCCACCACATTGGTTATGTTGAACCCTTAATCCACATGTACTGAACCAGGTGTCCAGCCTCCTAAATACCTGGAATGCAACAAGCCAGGCAAATTAGTGCAACAAATAACCCAAATATTCATAAAAAGGGACTATAATGCAGACCTCTACATTGCACAACTCTGCAGTGTACAAAAGAACCAAAGTAAACTCTCCATGATTGCATTGCACATTTGTGTAGATCTATTAACTCATAATTAATTACTTTTTGTTTCAAGCTCAGAAATCATCTTTACTTTGTTATTATTATTATTATTATTACTATTATTATTATTATTATTATTTTAAATAAATATATAAACTATAAACTTTGAAGAATGATAAATCTGAAACCATATGACTGTGTCAAAATGTGTGAAATGCACACTTTTTAAATGCCCCTCCCTCTTAATATAACATCCAATGTCCACGATATGAACACCGTTTTCCTCCATCTAACTTACAGCAGATTAGACTCTAGTGGAGCTTTTCTTTCTGCATTTCGTGTTCAGCCAAATTCGTTATTGATAGTCAACATGTATGTTGTACTCACACTTACACCTAACAACAAAATATAAAGACAGCAACTTCGTCACATGTAGGATGATTATAACAGTGTGTTTTCTTGTAAATACTTCTAAGCTCAGTTCATCCACGTTTGTCTGTTTACAGGACAAGCCATCTATCGTTAAAGCAGTCAAGATAATCACAAGTTAAACCACAGCGGAGCTGGAATGTTTTGATGATAAAACTGTAAAACTGATCGTATTAGACTTGTCGAAAGATACTCATTTGGTACGCTAAAATGATCTGAGATGTATTTGATTTGTTACTTGTAAACAAAAGGCATTTTCACACCAAAACCTAGAATGAAGGCTATCTTGATTCAACACCTTCTTTTGTAGATAGGACAAACCAACTGCGAAAGAAAATGCTTGGTTTCATCCTAACTTCACAAGATGAATTTACACGAATTTATCTATGTAATAATTTTTGCTTTTGTGAGTATCATTCTTCCAATTAATGTTTAACACGCAGAGCTGTGTTTGTAAACTTTCGCTCTAACGTCTTCCTTATTCGGTTTACTTTGGTTCCTTGATTAGCTTGACTTGAAGTTCAGTGTACTAGTAGACTAGTTGAACTTGGAACTGAGAATTTCATATTGCAGTTAATAGTCGTTAGGAAGAGAAGTGATTTGATGTTTTATAGTGATCAATGCAAATACACAGATACAAGAAAAATATCACCTCTCTTTAGACTGACGAAGGTGCTACATATATATGCACACACACACACACTAGCACGAAATTCATGCGTTAACACTCATGTTGACGATTTTGGCATCTACATTGTACTACCACATGAACGCAAAGGCTTCAAAAAGTTTAAAATGAAGACCTGTTGCAGAACCAGCCGATCCCTAAATGTTTGTATTTATGTTACCTTTCATCTCAACTTGCACTTTCCTGTAAAGTCAACCAGTTTTCCCATCAACAGAGCTGTTAGTAAGGTAATAAACATCTGTTTGTTCACCAGATATCAAAATCGCCCTTTGGAATGCAAATACAGTACATGTATTTCGTGCCAATCACACACATATACCGGTACTTGATGTGTAGTATCTATCTTTTATTACCTATTATATACTGTATATATGTATCACAAATCTAGCTCATTTATAGTTAGTGTTGACTACATGTAAATGAAAGATGATAAATATACATGTATATTTTTTATTTCTTCAGCTCCTGGAGGGTGGTAATTCTCTCCGAAAGAGCTTTGATAACCTAAATCCAGTAGAAAGAGGTGAAAGAGCAGACCAGAAAGTTGACGTCGACATAAACGCAGAAAAATCATGTTCAAGGGAAAGGTCAAAGATTGTTAGAGATATTTTTCAAAAAGTAGGTGCCTCCATAATTCTAAGCCAAAAGCCTGTTTCACAAAAGAGCTTTGGGAAACTTCATCTGATGCTGTTTGGTATATGAAATAATAAAAAAATATACAGTATATATCTAACATCAAAACTACCAGACAGGTTGCCATATTAACCACTTAATGATGATAATTTTAATGAATATTTAATTTTATTGGTTATGGATGTTCATATGATAAGTTATATAAAATCTCGATTTGAAATTTCCAGCAAATCCTTCCATTTTACGAAGACCTCTCCCCAGATGGCCAAGTGCTTGAGGTGCCGCGTGGGTGCCCCTTTAACCAGCTTAGAGACATATATGGGGAACAGGAGAGGCATAAGACTTTTGAATATCCATCCAGATGGGTATGTGAATACTGTGGAAAAGCTTTTTCCAGTGAATACTTTTTGGATTTGCATTTTGATAACAGGCATAAGGAGGGGGTAAGCCAGGTGAGACTTTCTCTAGAGCTCTAGCTGTTTTGTAAAATATTGATTTGAATTTATTTTCTTGTTCATATATGTGTGCAGAAGCAGTGTGTTAACATGGTGAAAATATTCATTTTGAAATATTCTGAAATATATATTTGAGATGAATTGTAAATATATAAAAAATTAAATGATATGAATAAGAAATTAGATCTACAATGACATATTGGTAAGAAATATTTTTTTAAATTCCCTGCAATAGGAGAGAGATCGAACTTGCCTGGCTGACTACTGTGATATATTTAGATGTGATATTGTCTCTGGTGCTAGAAAGCTAGGCTACTGGGACAAAGCTCTTTGTAAACCAAGCGACTGGTCTCCTATATATGACAAGTGTGAAGTAAGTGTTGGCTGCTCTTGTCATGATAATATATTATGATTATTGACTAAGACCTGTTCCCATAACAATAATCGATCTAGCAGGACCAACTCATCTCAGAGGGGTTCCTTGCTAAATTGCATTCGGATTAAGTGGCTCTGATGTCTAGCACACCTACTGAAGCTGTAAGGGGGTAATTAACTATCCTTTAGCAGCTTCAGTAGGCGTGCCAGACATCTAAGGTACTTAAACTGAGTGCAATTTAGCTAGAAATCCTCAAAGATGGGTTGATCATGCTAGATCAATCTAGGTATGGGAATGGGGTCTTAACTGGAAACTTGTGGCATAGCAACTAACAACTGGCCAATAAATAAGGTCAGAGGGTAGATTAAATTTTATTAAAATAATAATAATAATAATATTTATTTATAGTCTAAAATCCATATATAAAATGTTCAGTAGACTTCACATGGGTAAAATGAACAGAATCAGATAACTAAAATAAACAAAAAGGTAGTAAAAATAATAAGATATGAACTAAAGATGTGAACTTAAATGTAATTGAATTGATAAGATATCAAAAATAAATTGTACAGTGTAAAAGACAGCAGCCAGTCAACTCAATTGTAAATTGTAAAAGGTAAGATTAGTAAGATTTGTTGTTAACTTAAAATTAAGGTTGATCATCTGTCAAAATGAATTAAACTTGATTTACATTTATCAAATGTAAATAATAGTATGGTATTGAAATCGTATGTGGAAATCTGCTAGTTTTTCCCTGCATATATTTACAGGCAGCAATGAAAACGTGTGTTCCCCTTGGAATAAAGGATGCCATTGCTGAAATATTTTATGGTATGATAATGTTTTTCATCCTTTTACTTACACTTTTGAAAGCAGTCTATTTTGCTCAGAGCAACCTAGTTGAAAATATGCTTGTTGCAGGTAAAGTCAACCTGATGATTTTTTGAAATGACTTATCTTGAAAATATACTCCAGCTTTATATGTTTTGTTGAGTTTTGCATCAGTTGGCAAAATTTCAAGACATATGCACATATGCACAATTTAATGAAAGCATACAAGTTAAAGAACTTTTATTTTTATTCTGTAAAAGAATTTTTTTTAATAATTTGTTACAGAGGGCTTAACAGAAAATGTGTGTGCTTATCTGACATGTGAAAAATTCTGGTCACTGCCTGAAGAATCAGTGGTAAGAAAAGCCTTAGATATGAAGAAAAATAGTATGTCCATAATAATAGAAAGAGATTTCTGACAAATATTTTAATGAAAATTGTGTATTTTAATTTTTTTTTCCAATTGTTTAAGAAAATTTCCACATCATTATAATCATTCCATATGCAAGTTATAGAGCTGATATTATGTTGCATTTGTTGCATTTGTGCTCAGCCCAAATTAAAGCCGTAACATCATAAAAAACACTTCCCTCTTTGGTGTTGTTTTTCACCTTCATAAGCTTGATAATTTTGATTGAAGTACAAACACACTAAGGGAGCGTTCCCATTACCGTAACTTACAAGCTGGATCGATCCAACTCCTCGGGGATTCTCGCTAAAATTGCTTTCAGTTTGAGCGGGTTAAAAGTCTGGCATGCCCCTTGTAACTTAAAAGTACTTACGTACAGTCGATGAAAACTTTGTGGTCCATGATGTTGTTCATGTTGCTTTGTGAGGGGGCATCCCAGACAGTTACTGTAAGCTGAAGACATTGACTGCGCCTTAGCGAGAATCCCTGCTGAGATACATAGATCCTGCTAGTACAATGAGGTTATGGGAATGAAGTCTTAGTCCTTTGATTTTACTTTATTAATAATAAGTTAGCTATTATGTTCCAGGACAATTCGGTGCAGATTGTAGCCTATGTCTTCCTGGGGTCTTTCCTCATTGTAGCTGTACTTTTCTATTACTATGTTGTTTATACACATTATTAGTAAGTATGATTTTTTATTTAAAAATATTTTTGTCAGAATGATTAGATGTAAATTCATTTTTTTTTTTTTTTTTTTTTTTTTTTTTTGTTATGGTTATTATAAATGGGTATGGTGAGCTTCTATATCAGTATGTTAAAAATGTAAGCTTGCTATTCATGTCAAATTTTAATTGATTTTTTTTCTTTTGGCTGGTGAAATAGTAATAAGGACTTAGTTGTTATTAGTAACTGGACTGCTTCTTTAAGTTCTTTTTTTTTTTTGATTGAATTTGAATAAGACTGTAAACTTAAAAAGAAAGTTTTCTTTTTCTACAGCACTGATGAATCTCTAGTGGAATATTTCCAAAAGTTTAAAACTGATGAGGAACACAAAGCGAGATCTCAAATGCCTGAAGGACAAGAAATTAGACACCGTCATGTAAACTGTAAACATAGGAGTTGACAAAGACTGATCTTGATTTGTGTTTGTGGGCCTGTCCTTGGGCCTTTTTTTTCTTTTGACACTTGTATGTTCCTGTACCAAAGGAGATGGAGATGAATTTTACACTGAATATTAGGCTATATGTCCAAGGTGCAGTACTGTTTAAAAAATACACAACCAAAGTAGTGTTTTTGCAGAATGATATTTTAGTATTATAGATCATAATAATTATATATTGTTAAGATTTGTGTTTAAAGCCACATCTTTGTGTCACAAATAAATACATGTGCAAATTGACGGTTATATTATTGTTCTGGCAGCAGATTCAAAAACAATGGCTACAAAATGTTTACCTTGGGTAACCAGTGGTTACCAGTCACATAATTATGGCTGTGTCAATGAGACAATCACATTATATATTTTTTGAACAATTATGAGATACAGCTCCCATATTATCAATAAGAATACCCCCAGTTGATTAGGTATCAGATTGCCAAAGACAGCAGTGAATACAACTGCTCTGTCTGATTGGGCCATGGATTTATCACCTATCAGACAAGAGCTTTTTCTGCATAAAATCTGCAGAATTCTGCGATTTTTAATTCAATTCTGATGGTTCCTGAGATTTGTCAAGGTCTGCAATAAAATCTGGTTCAGAGGGTTTTTTTAACCTTGGCCCATCACTGCCTGTTATTAATGGACACAAGTGTACTGAAACTCTTTTTGTATGGCATCTTATAATGGCACATACAGTAGGTGTAGCATTTTAAAACTGTTTTTGTTTAAAGAAAGTTCATTTTCTTTTTAATAATTAACCTTATTAGTTTTTTTTTTTTTTTGTGCTGTATACATAACATTATCTCTAAAGGTCAGTCTTCAGTGTCAAATTATTTCTGTGAAATTATAGTATTTTGTCTAATGTCAGAGATACGTATATATTTATTGATCGGTGATATGAGACGTCTGGTGTTTTACATATCCAAGATGCACCTTTTTTGTAAGTTGTCATTAAGGTATGGAGATAATAAGATACATAAACACAATTCAATGGGTCTTTTGCATTGATTTTATAAAATAATTTTTTTACTAAATATGAGGTAAATATTTTAACATTTTTACGTGGCACCTAAGAAATATAAGAAAAAGATGCTAATCTTAGTGTGCTTAAACTTTATTCTAAGCAAATCGTTCAGAAATTTATCCTAAATTTTGGACAATAAAGAAAATTAAGGAACATACTACGTGTTTTGGAATGAAAATTTGAAGACACCTGAAAAAAAAATGATAAATGATTTTTTTTATATTACAAAGAACAAATTCAATAATTACAACATATAAGTGCTAATTTTAAATTATTTTAAGTATGATTTTTTTTTTTTTTTATTGTGCTGTACACTGGAAGTCTAGATTTAAACACCACGGTGCTGCATAAAGCGCAATGAAAACTTCAGTAGTTTCAAAATTGTACCAGTACATACCAATGGAAAAAAAGACTAGTAATATTTTATATGAATTCATTTTTTTTAAATCTGGTGATGAAATTTAAAAAGAACAAAAAATTAAATGATGTCCAAAAGGGCTGATCTGCCCTTCTGCGAAGTATTTCATAGTTATCAGTGAGTACATTGTATACTGGTAAATTGGTAAATTATACTCACTGATAGAAAGAAGAAGAAATGCTGAAATAATTGAAATTCTGATTGAGTATTTGGCAACTGTTGGGGAACACATCCGGAAGGAAAGGACAATTTTAGACTGGGTTCCCATACTTAGATCAAACTAACAGGATTGATCCATCTCCGAGGTTAATTCTTGCTAAATTGCTTTCAGCTTAAGCAGCTTAGATGTCTTGCATGCCTACTGAAGCTGTTAAACGATAATTGCCCCCTAGTAGCTTCAGTAGATGTGACAGACATCTAAGTCGCTTAAGTCGATTGCAATTTAGCGAGAATCCCCCAAGAGATAGATCAATCCACATTTAGTATGATAGGGTCTCGGTCTCTTAGGCTCTGTTCTCACAACTTTTAGATCGATCTATCACCGCGGGGAGTCTCACTAGATTACTGTCAGATAATCCCCCTTAAGTGTCCGTCCCCGCCTACTACAAGCTTTAAGGGGTAATTAACTTTCGTGTCCGCCCGGCTGACAGCTATTTAGCGTGAACCCCCAGGGAGTTAGGTCGATCCAATGTAGGTCGATCTAATCTATGAGAATGGGGTGTTAGTTTTCAGTAAGCACAAATAAGTAACTGATATATCCATGCAGTACTTTAAGGATAGTTTAAAAAAGGTCACCGTGACGTCATCAGTAGACAATCTTCGCTGTAAGGCTTATTACAGAGATTACCAGATGGCCACATTATGATGCTAATTGATTCGTTCATACTAAGTAATGAATAATAAATTGAATTGATTTTTTACACGTGTTGTAGATTTTCTTTATGAATTTCACTTAGTTATATGCAATTAACGGTTACTAAAAGTGACTTAATGAAAGAACGCGCCGAACCTTTTCTTTCAGAATTTTCAAAATGAGAGAAACTTGATATAATGCAAATATGGACCAATTCTTAAAATTATTTTGTTCAGTTTGAATATACCCGGTTCGTTCATTCTACCTATGAAAGGTGATTTATATGTCCAGTCAAGTGTGTTGACCTTGAAAATGCGTTTTTATTTTTATTTATTTCTGCTGTGCGTGTGTGTGTCATTATAACTTTACCAACCCCTAATCTTCTTTACGAGACGTCCCTTCTCATAAAACAGACTGTAATTCAAACCGAGGCGTCCGCACGGAAAATAAGCTATCTCTTCATTATTATGCAAATCAGGTGAGCGTTTTGGTGAGAGGTGCTCAGATAGGACCAAGGTCAGTAGAAGATGGAGAAGAAGGGTGTCCCGTGCCATATTACTCTTACTGCCACATGTAGGCCGAAAAGATGACACTGAAACCGGTAGCAGCATCTCGTAAGTCCCGTACATATGATAGAAAATGTATGGTAGCATTTCTAAGTTTTGCATTGACGATATTTTCCCAAAATGCTGCACTCTACGGTACTTGCTTGTAGGCAAAATGACCATGGGGATCTCTAACTGACGTGAAGAATACTTCCTCTTAGCTTTACTTCAGTGCCTTTTGGGCACCCCTTGTTTCTGATACCATTAGCTTTCCGTGGTAGTTCAATATGAATTTAAATTCTAATCGCGATTTGTTAATAATAACGCAAGGATACTGACACGAATTACTGTAATGAGCATGTGCTGCTTTATCACATCTTTAGACATTGTTTTCTGAATGTGAATTGAAAGTTTAATTGCGATTTGTTCATTGTAACGCAGAGGACACTGACACAAATTACTGTAATGAACATGTAAAATCACATCTTTAGACACTGTTTCATGAATGTGAATTTATTCCTTTAATTCCAGTGACTCAAAGTAGCGTTTACGAAGATGCCAGGAGCGTCCAACTCAGAGACACGTTTCGTGTTCGACGAATACAACCCCACACCCATGCCAAGATTGCCTCCAATGCCGACGTTTGTCTGCTCGTTAATTTGCAGGGACGACGTTTAGTACGGAATGTTATAAGTTTGCTCTTGGTTGTAACATTCTGCTCCAAAACGTACTGCGGTATATCGAATTAAAAGTCGAATAAAAAGAGATTTTTATTCATGAAACTACTTATAGAGATTAAATCCATACTAAGCGTCCGCCCTGCATGTTGCTGGTTTGCTTCTTTTGGAAATTGTATGTTACTGTGACGTAGTACAGTACTCTTAGTCTATCTATCTTTTAGAACCTGAATCATAGATTTGAAGTTCTCATTTAACAGAAATAATGTCTGTATAAGAATGAAAAATTGTTTGTTTGAAATTACCATATATTAATTTCCAAGGAGAGAAATGCTTTTATTTGTCACTGAAAATATGTGTGGGCAAATCTGCAACTTGACGCCTCGTTGTGCACTTGAAGATGTACTCCTATTTATTCTAAATTATGTTGACTTCTGGGGAGGAAAGACATTGCAACTCCATTTTGTAAATTGCATATAGGAAACCTTTAATAACATTAATCGTGTTTTCAGTCAAAAAAGAGGGAGGGATGTAAAGCTACAAAAGACACTGTTAATAAAACGTATAACGCCTTAGAAATCCCAACATTGTGTAACGGGAAAAAATGTGCCGAAAGTTACTGCAGAATTGTCCACATATACTATAACGATCTTTTAACAATTATGAATATGGCACTGTGGCTGTGAATAAACTTCCTCTGGTTCTTGGTGTTCTCTGTGGTGGGCGGGGATCAAAAATCTGTTTTGTGAAACAAAGTTAAACCTTGAGGTGGAGTAAATATTCCCATCCGAAGTAAAATTCATTTAATATTGCGGTAGAAAAATGGAGATCTTTGTTGCGAATATGATAAGAAAACTGTTCCTATAGTTGGCTACAAACAAAATTTTCCCTGGATTGGGAACATAAAAAAAACGGGAAATGGACTTATTTTAGTTATCCTTTGTCCATTAAAATGTTTCCGTAGGACTGACATTAATCATATCCTTTTGCACAAAGGTTTCATTTTCGGAAAGTCGACTTTCGTCAATTTCGTCAATGCTGAAAAAAGAAAGTGAACAATTAAAAATTCTTAAACAAAATCTATAGAACTTTGAAAATGAGATTATAGATTTATTGTTTCAATTGTTGCACTAAAGTCCATTCTTACAGTTTGGCTAGTTATTTAAGTATTTTTACGGAATTATCATCTGAAAATGTTATAACAAAGTATTTTTATCCTCTAAACGGTTATTTCGACATTACCAAAGTGTTTATAAACCTAAAAACTTCGTTTGGTTTGAATTTTTAAAGTGTAACACATGCTTAAAATGTTCTAATTAAAGTTCTTTATCTTACATTTTAATTTTATTTCGGGAGCAAGGGGTGATTGAGAAAGACGGGCTTGGTTAGATATCAGTCCTGCATGCCCATGTTTTGTTATTTGTGCTTAGTCTCTTCACTGAACACCGAGAACCAGAGTTAATTTTAAGTGAATGTGAAAAGTCACATCAAATACACTGATTTTTGTATTACCTTTTCAGTTTGGTTTGAATATTATTCTGAATTTGGCTAAGACTTGAATAATCTTGTAAACCGTCCATGTCTTTATGTCGCTCCAAATTTTCATGCTTTGCAAAAGTAAATTTTCATCCACAATTACGCAATGTATGATATCTACTTTCGGATTTAGTGCAAAGAAAACAAAATTTTAAAATAACCCATTGCCAAAACAACGAGGAATGAAGAAATTTTGGTATCTGTTCGATTTGGTGTGCAAACATCAACAAGACGACATAGGACAAGGTGGGCTTACGTGTGCGTTAGTGCACGAATGAGGCTAACAGCAGGTTATATGCATTTTTAAAATTGTTACAACCTCTGAATTTGGACAGAAATGTTTTTGATGGAATTCGATGAAGACAAAGCACTAATGTCAACATCGACAAAAAGTTGCAAGTCCAATTTGTTTTAAAAAAGTCATTTTTTCTACCATCAGTTCTTGCCAGTCTTTCAAATGTTATATTCTTGAACTTTTTATCATAAATCAAAGATTCTTGCTTTTGGTAACAATTTTCAAAATGCATAAAAAATTCGACTTGTTTTATTTACAGATAACTATACCGTCTTTTTTCTGCTTGTTATATTTCATTTTGATTTAGAGCACAAAATGTTATATTTTCATTCTTTTTGTAAAAAAATTATGCTGTAAATCATTTTGACAATAATAAATGTACAAATGCTTACTTAGTTCAAAACTTGCAAAAAGAATTTCTTTCACCACTAGCTCATCCCGATCCCTTCATCTCCTGCTTACTATTCTGCCGTCTTATCCACTGAGCCACTGCCTCAACTTACTTCTTGCATGATCGTAGGACCTTCTTGTCGCAATTTAAATCACTTATTTGAAATTTTTTTGTAAAAGGTAATTTGCTGGGACCTAGAAGCGCCAGGTTTCGAACCCAAGCTTGCTGTGTCC